CAGCAATATAATTGAATTAATTAGAATGGTATCGCAGGGAATAAAGCCGTGAGATGTTAGTTTGCAATTTCTACGAACTGTGCGCCTGGCAATTCCGTTATGGTTAATTAAACTTTGAAACGGATGTTGACGCGAGTATGGGCGAAATAGAATATACGACTCGTGCGCGCGCGCGTTACGTTATGCATCGAATTGGACAGCAATGATCATACAGCTTGTTATTGTTATTGCGCACGAGTAAGTTATTTTGTAAATTCGAATAACGCAAAACTGCTGACACAAATAAAATAGATTGACTCCTCGTTAATTTCTCCGTTATGTAATTATTGTATTTTTCGTCAAAACTATCCGTCGAGTTTCATGTCGCGCGATTATTATATTTTTATATCGCGTCGATATTGAAATTGCGGCTAGTGAGAAATTTCCTTCGTAAAATTGCTTTTTTTTTTTATTGCGACATTCCACGTGCAAATGGAAATAGAAATTGTACGCGCTGTGTAAACACGTCTACACGCTTTCCGCGTGTATTGCGGATCCGTAACACCGAAATCTTGTGTAACCGTGTCGGCAACGAAAATTACGTGTAACCGCTGTTTGAACTGCTGCTGCTGCTGAATTTGACCGCTTGTCAGCTACTTTCAATTACACGCTCTCCACAGCATGTTGCGAAACCTGAGTTTCGCCGTGAATTCGAGAGCAAAGCTATTGATTGAGCCTAGGTAAACGGATTAGCACTTGGAGAAATGAACACTTTCACCCCGATACTTGGGTTTTTTCGACTTTTTTTTCACTTCAGATTTAATTTTAGATTCAGACACAGAGTTCAAACTGCTCACTATTTTAGCTTGTTTACGGTTTTCAGATTTATGTCGTGTATCAAAATATTTGGATAGACATGTTACAAATCGCATTTGCGAATTGTCTAATTATTTTGCACTGGATTCAAAAATATATGAAGGTATAACTTATATGCTTTTCGTTAATTAACAAATGACACAATCTCTTCATTTGTAATTCCACTTAAAACAGATTTTGCTTTAACAGGATTGTTTAGTCTCAATTATCAAGATATTTGCATATTAAAAAGTGCGCTGAAAAGACTCGGCATGCAATTGAATATCCGCTACGGAAAAGTTAATTCCGAATTGATCAGACTCCGTTGATGAAGTTTTGTAAGATGCATTCTCGAGCAATCTGTATAAAACTACGCGTCGGATCGACAAACGAGCTCCCACCGGCCTAGACTGGTCTCCCTATAATTACAGAGACTAACGACGCGATTTTGTGCGTGTCGGTGAAAAGCGGCGTTCCCCGCTCGCGCAACTTCGCGAGATTGATTTTCTGCAATTAGAGGACGGCCTTAACGAGTTTCCGCTGAAACGGGGTGCTTTTTGCTAACCATATCGCGTGTTTCCTCGTCGCGCCAACGTCCTGCACATCTTAATGGATTCTCAAGAGGATTCTTAATATTGTCCAAAAAGATCGCAGTTTTCTTATAGGCTGATCGCGCCCAACCTCGGGACTGTTTGATGCACTACAGAAAAGATGCACTACAGAAGAAGAGGGAGAAGCTTTTTGAAGACCCTTCTCTTTATTAAAAGCCTGATTTCTTTCCGGTCATTTGATCCCGAGTCGGGGAATATGTAACGTTCGCTCTCAAAAGAGAGCTCACAAAGTCGTCACTCAGCGACAAAAAATAGCGAACGACCTGAATAACAAACTGTGTAGAGGAAAATATCTTTAATAAGTAACTTGGGGCGAGTTTCTCTCTCTCTCTCTCTTCTTCTTCTCTCTCTCTCTCTCTCTCTCTCTCTCTTCTTCTCTCTCTCTCTCTCTCTCTCTCTCTCTCTTACCAACTTAAGACGCGACTTTCGAGGTAATTAAAAAGCCCTCGCGGCTAAATTGCGATCCTGGTTAATTGCACGATTGCAATTATGCGCTATACGCGACGCACTGCATCTGGGAGTGCGTTATATTAAAAATGCGCGCGTCAAAGCGTAAGTCGTGTACGTGTTAATTAATTCACGTTATCGCGAATTAGGTTGAGTTAAGCCGCTCAGTCGTGCTCGCGTTCTTTACGTTGCGCTGCAATAGCACGCGATCTACCATAATTTCCGGCCAAATTGCCATCACCCGACTTTTCGACGCCACCTGTAATGCACGTCATACAATTTCACTCTGTTTACTTATTTTATAAACCTCGCAACGAATTTACATTTTTCCAAAAAGAGCGTTGATGGCGCGCGTTGCGTCACGGATGGAAATATTAATACGTGTTCGTCAATTTAGAATATCTAATATCTCGCAGGTGAATATCAGTATTATTGCTAATCGAAAGCGCTCGTTAAATTCCGCGTCACCGGTTACGGACAGTTTCTAATGCGCCTTCGAATCAGCCGCTCATCGGTTATGCTCTCGCTAGGCAACTGCGTGCTCGCGAATCGTTCGCATATACGTCAATCAACTCAGCGCTGAATTCACATTAGCGTTAAACGCACACGCAGCACGCGAATACAGGGGATTGTATCGGTGCATCAGCGTCGATCATGCAACTATTTCCACGCCTGTTAACGACTAATTAGGCAGGAGCAATAAAATCTGCGTGCATACATTTCGCGTCGGTACGTTGATAGAAAATTAATGTACGGACTTGTGCTTGATTGAAAAAAGTAACATTTGCAGATCACGGATAAAAAGTATTTTATAACTTACTTTTATTTCTAATTAGTTATCTGTAATTTCAATACTTCTTTCCTTCTCTTTGCCATTTCACAAATTAATACTTAAAATATATTCATATAAATTCTTTCCTACATTAGCATAATTAGTAATTAGTCCCGCGCTATTAGTAACAGCGTTAATTGTACAAATTTATACAATTCGTGCCTCACTTTGAGGCATGATCTATAAGTCGCAACGAAATTCGAAATACAATTACATGTTGAGGAGTGGCGAAGGTACGGTTTGTAATTTTATGTACCGTGTAATACAATAAACATTTTTGGAAATTCGAAATATCAATAATAAATATTACATCAGTGTTTTATATTGCATAGAATTATAAATTGATTTCTATCTTCTATCTATTGTCGCAAGTTCTAAATCTCTTAAAGTGAATTTAAACCACATATTTAAAAGTGCTTTTGTATAATTCAGATATTTTGATAAATTTTAATTCGTTGGAATGTTATTATCGTCTATTTTTGACAAAATATCGATTTAGCTAAATAACTCTAATTTTTTCTCAACGTAATACTTGAAAACAGAAGGCAACGCGTCGTCACCTTCGCGAAATACAATGTTCGTGCTGCCAGGTTAGTTTCAGAGCACTGAAATCACGACATCTCCCTTGACAGCCGGTGAAACAATCGCCGCGAGTGTTTGCACGTCGCACTCAATTACGTTCTCGAGCCAATACGCAATGGTGGAACAAAGCTAACGCTTTTGTGCCGTCTCTGTGAGCATCTCCGACATGCACCGTGTCCTGCCGCGCTCTGATTGTAAAGACTGTCGCGTTCGTAATCACCACTCAATGACGATTATTCGCTTGTTCCCGTTTGCTCTGCGGTTTCCGCCGATTTGCGAACAGACGGGCCGACTTTTAATTATTCAACCGACGCCACGCCGTAAAATGTCGTCGGTGGTGGCTGCGTAATCTCATAGTCGTCGCGGTTGTCGTCGTCGTCGTCGTCGTCGTCGTCGTCGTCGTCGTCGTCGTCGTCGTCGTCGTCGTCGTCGCGCCGCTAAACTGTATACCATGGATAAACCCTCGCACACGTGTTTCCGCACATTAGCACGTATGCCATCTCCCTGGTACGCGGTCCCGAGCGGCGCGCTCGAGCAGCCACCTCCAGCGCGATTATCCTGGATCACTGACTATGAACCGACAATTAAGCGCGCGGGAGTAAACGCGATCGGACGCGCGCGCGATGCTTCTAAACTCGACAGCCGCGAGTTCTTGTCGTGTGCGCGCGAGCGTTTCTGCAAGTTCGAAGTGGTGCAGTTCGGTCGAACTGACATAATCTCCGCCCGCGTAATTACTTTGGATCACTATGAGCGACAACCCAAGCTACGCGAGCGGGCAAACGTTAGGTAACTTGATACAATTTCGCGCTAACACGAAAATTCTCATGCTACCAGCATCCGCGAAACTCTGCAGAGAGATGATCCGATATGACTTGTCCTTTGATTACTGAAGTGCACATTAAGTTTTAAACATAAATTTACTGAATGGAATTCGTACAATTAAACAAGTTTAATCTACAATTTATATAGGCCAACAAATAATGTCTTTTGCATTTTTATTTCGTTATACGTTTTATAAATTTTTATGATAATTGCTAATTCTTGAGTAAAAAAATGTAGATGTTTAATCGCTCCCGAAATTTGAGATAATATTGGACGGATTTTTGAATTGAACTCTCAAGTACACTGTATTTGGTCCAATTAGCGTTTTAAAATCTCTTTTATGCGTACGTGTTCCTCATTGATTTGCGATTAGCAATGCAAGGCTGCGCGCGGTGATTAGAGGTAGATGACTGCGGAAAAGCTCGGACGGCTTCGCGAAGGTTCTTGAAGTTCAACACAGCATAATGGAGCAGGGATTTCTTGCGACGCTTTGGTTTTATGGAACACCAAATACCTATTCTGTCGGCGATTATACCCCTCTACAAACGTTAATGGCATTATAAGGATATTTAGCACGAAAAGGCAAGGATTATGCTCAACTCCATTAGGAACGCTTGATTGTGAAGATTAATTCTGTCACGCCGCATTAATTTCAGCTATAAGTTTTCCGGATGAGCGCGAGAATGCAGAAATAACTGTATCAGATTTCATCACTGACATTCAATTACGCAGATTAGTCCCGCAGGAACGCGTTATCTCGAACATTTCCGCAAGAACGCGGTAAGTTTCCATGACGATGAGGGCGAAGTTGGAGCGGACGATCTAGCTCGCTCGCTAACATTCTGCGGATTTTAGACGAGATTAGAACGTACCTTGGCTGACCGCGATCGCCTCGATAACCAGCAGAAAACCAGCGAGTACCAGGACGGCGAGCCAGCGACACAGCATTTTTAACACCTCGATCGCTCGCTGCACTACCGATCCTTGCTCGTTAAACGCTTGTCAATATTCAGTACTGCGAAATGAATATCAATTCTTTTGTTGCTGTGTCCGCGCACTTGTGTGCAACTTCTTTCACTTTTTTTTTCTTTTACAGCGAAGCTCAGTTTAATCTTTTGTCAAATCGAGAACAATGCTTTTCCCAGGCATCTATTTCGCTTTGTCAAAGACCATACATGTGTGTTCCGTACTCCACTGTAAGCAATTTTTTTATTAACTTTTACATGCACATAAGTGTTCCGATAGAAAAATCCTCACTGCATCACGATTAACACCTGAAGAGGGATTAATTATTCACGTCAGCAGTTTTGCTGAAACAATCAGCTCCGGATTCGCGGAAGCGAAGAATGCGAGAGCCACGGTATATCTTTAATCGAGTTTCACGGGGTGAAATCGATTGTAAATCCTCAATAGTATTCGACAGACAATAAGGTCCGGGTGCTCACAGACGGCGTTCCGCGGCCGCTTTCGCGCGGCCGACATGCACGCGTCCCCGATGATGACAGCAGCCGCGCTCACGTGGAGCCGTCGCCTGGACGAGCGTCGCGACGCGCGACCCGCGAGTGCTCGGTCTCAGGCGCAGCATCCTCCGGCCGGGACGGCGCACTATCGCGTTTTATCGCAGAGATCGGTCGGTCAGATTCGGAGTCACCTTCCGAGATTAACTCACGCAACTTTGCCGGACGATCGTCATCGTACGCTTTTGATCGTCGCCGAACCGACACGTCACCGTCTTTCGCCGTCTTTCGCCTTCGTCGTCGTCGTCGTCGTCCCGCGCGACGACGTTGAACCCGCATGGACCAGCCGCCGGCGCGGATGAGGCCTGCCGCTCGGCGTCGCGGCGCGAAATGATCCTGCGGGGGATACTCGCCCCGGCGCGCTTGCGCGATGACTTTGCTGCGTTCGCCGCGGATAAAGCGCGGACCGGTTACGCGCAGACCACTTCTCTTCTCTCCCTGCTTCTCCTCTCTTCCTTCACCCCCTCACCCTCTTTCCTTCCGCACATTCTCGCGCGACGTCGCGGTCGCCGGGAGATGACCGCTGCGTCGAGATCGGGGGTTGCACCCCGGAGCACACACACGTCCGACACTTGTCGAGGGGCCCGTCTTGTTGTCGATTCCGCTACCTCCGGGCGCTCCTGCGAGAATTATGATGTCGTCGCTGCTGACGGATCGGCGAATTTCGCCCGTATTAGATTGCCTACTGCCGGCTATCGCAACACTCCTTCCGCCACACGAATCGTCGTGTTCCGCGTAATCTAATTCCATCGCTGATCGCGAAAGTTCGCATTTTTCTTTTCGGATTGACTTAAACAAACATAAATGCTAAACTTGATCGGTTGAATTTATATCGAGTGCGTTGTTGAAGTTACGTAACTTGCCAACATCCAATCAATATATGTTAATAACGCGCTGGAGTTTGACGCGGAACGTTACTCGTTTTACTCCACTTCGAAGTTGATAATTGCTCGCGCCTGCATCACAGACCATTGAACTCCAAGAACTCGGCAAGTATTGCCAAACTGCAGCACATTGGTAGCGACGCATAACGTGTTTCTGTTTACAGAAACTTATCGACGTGAATACCGTTGCCAAGTATGCGCCGCAAGGCTCGCCTCTATCGACAATAACTGCTGTTAATGTTAGCATGCTAGACGGAAGCCCTCGATTGCGAGCGCGCTATATCAGCGCAAGGGTTTACAGAAACTATGATCTATGTACGCTTTATTCAAAGGCTTGGCAAGGATCAGTGAATCTGTGGAATCACGTGCTAATAGCTTCTCTGTCGAAAGTGTTTTCAAACTGCAAATTTGTGGAATTATAGGATCAAACTTTCATGGAATCAATAGTGAGATTTTTTTTTCTTTTTGCGATATATTCACGCTCCGCAGTTTATTGATTTGGTAATGTATTATGCACACAAACCAATCTTCTATCATTGTGAATGTAATTTTTATTATCTGTAAAGTTTTTCTTTTTTTCGCATATAGTAATTATTATATTATCATTATTATTTATTAATTTCTCCTCAATTTACATTTTAAATTACAGGTTGATTTACTGCGATATTACTGCCAAAAGCCTTTGATCGCCGGTTAGTATCGATTATGATCGTCAACCGTATTGGCTTTAAAATTTTCCGAGCTGACTACCACTGATCATGTGTGAGTATCTATTTACCTATATATCTATATTTACCGAGAGATTATCGCGGACTTTGCAGTGGCGATTCGATGTCGACGAAACTATCCCGATGCAATGTCGGGTCCGTTCAAACGGGGTTTTGACTTTCTTTCGGTAGATCGTCATTCTGTTAGCTCGCAGAGCTGAGCCTTTTGCCAGCTTCACCGATTCCATCGAAACGTGCTGGCATTCGCGAATCTACGTAAAAGGATACGTGCCAGCGCATGCTTTCAGATGGGACGGCATTGATTCGGGCGGATCTAGAGCAAAATGTTCCGCCTGTTACACATCTATACCAGTCCGCGCGGCATGGCACGACCATGCTGTAGGCTTCGTTGTCAGGTGGTATTTGTTCAAGTCCGCAGTCGATACACACTGTGTATGCTCCGCGTTAACGAGAATCCTGCGTGGTTCATCTTACGAGCGGAATAATATATCAGGCATTCTATTGAGTTCTGATCCTGATGTGAATTGAACATCGTTAATCAGCAGTTCGCTACATCAATACAATTTTACGGGATTCAACAACATAGATATCGAGGCAAATTCTGATGTGTGTCACTCAATTTTCATCCAGTATCATTGCATAACTTTGTGCTAATGATTACGACTATTATCAATATCATTATTCTTATGAATAAGAATGAGTCGTGTTTGTATGGAACGTATCCATGTATCTGTGGTTAAATATCGAAATGTTTGAATCGTAATATTCTCGCGCAAAATTCTTTTAAATATAACATTACATATACTTCAATATATTCCTTCATTTGCGTTAAATTTGATTTCACAACAAGTAATTTATTCTTTTCTGATCTTTTATAGAACCAATAATCCATCGTTTTCTTTGACAATTAATTATTGATTCAATAATTAGCAGTTTTGTAATTTCAACAATATAGTGTGTAGCAACTAATTAATTAATTAATTTTATTAGAACAAAAATAATCCATTATTTTCTTTGATAATAAATCATTGATTTATAGTAATTAAATTTTCCGCTTTCTTTCTCGCAAGACACAAATTGTCTGAGAGACTCCTATTCGCAGGTTGAATTAGTGTTGAATCACTCAATTGATAAGAATAAGAAGTTTGATATAATAAATGAATTATACAAAGAAACAATTTATCTTAATCGAACGAATAATTCGCACAGACGCATTCATTAATATGTCAAACTTAATAAACGTCAAACGTAAAGTTTTGGACATCACAAGGCGTGGTAAAATTAAAGCCGTCTACGGTGATATTATTACGCTGCGCGGAAACTTTGTTTATCCACTCTGTTTACCGGCGTTAATAATCATTGTGCAGATATTCTGTAAAGTTGTACCAGGGTCGAAATTTCAAGCTGACATTTCACGTGCGGTATAACTTTGCTAGCATTTGCTAAATATTTAGTCGACATGCATCTACTTGCATAATGCTCAAAGATCCGGCTTGAAACCGCAAGAGCCGAATTCCCGGCGTGCGTGTAACGCCGAATGTGGGCTGCCTTGGTCTAATCCCTCGCTAGTATCGCGCACGTAAGCAGCCAGTTATATCCGCAGAACTGAAAACCATACAACCGCGTTAAATGCGCGAATGAACGCGAAGATCCAGCATGTTCTTGAGAAATTTCGGATCATTAAATGATTTGCGGAAATTCCTTTCGCAGCGTGATATCGGGAGATGGGACAATCTCAGATGATCCTGGCGTGTGTTTCAGTTTTGCAATATTTCCTTCATTTAAGATGAGTAATAGCAAGCTGAACTCAGAATATAATGAATGGACTTTTCATACTAGAATATTTTTTTCACAATAAAATTAACACTTGTCACAAATTATGGTTGCTGTAAAAAGTGACAAAGATATTAATTGTTAATTCAAGGATTCTTACTAAAATAATTAAATGGAATTAATCTATTAAAATATAACATGCAATTCTGAAATATTATTAGATTTATCTAATTTGTATTTCCTAATAAATTGCTACGATATTTTATTTACATCTCTTGAAATGTGCTGTACAGTAGAGTGTCCATCAAATTTTAGATATTTATTACGCTAAAATATTGCAAAAAATATAAATTTGCGTCAGGAAAAATGCAAAAGATTAATTGCACTTTATATTTCAACGAATTATTGTATTTATTTAAAGCACGGCTTGCTTTCCGTCCACAATGTTTTGATTTTTTACCCAAAACGATTTTACAATGTGTCATTACAATGTTACCGCGACATGAATAGCGTAATAATTCGTCCAACGTATTTACGCAAAGTCGGACCGAGAATGCGCCGTGTCGGTTCGTTGGAATCGCCTGTCCCGCGAGTATAAATTCGGCTTTTATTTCGATAATCGTTGGGGAATTAAACGCGCGCAGTTTTATCGCAAGGGAAGGCGTAGTATTAAGTCCGATTTTAGTGTGCGTTATTTAAATTGAACCGCTACGGTTACTTTTTGGGACGAGCAACACAATTGCAGTATCGTCGTCGTCCCGGGTGCCCTAAACGTATTAACGACTAATTATCTTTTACCGCACCGGCAAAAAAATACGATCGCGCACACGCGCGTGCAATAAATATGGTAACGCGTTTTCGATATTTCATGCAATGAATTTTACAAGGAGGCTAACCCCAATAGCTACAAAAACTCAGCACGCAGATATCTCCCGCATGCACACAGATAAGCCACCCTCGCACGCATTTACGCGTCAGGTCGTATCGATTATCTATTTTAGTATGCTGCGAAATACCGCGTTTGAAGATTGGTGATGTTTTTTGATAACACGGTTTTTATCACGTTTGTCGGCTGGGAAATTCGCGATGCGATATTGGAGTGATGTTCAAATTTGTCGCAATATCATATCGCGTATTTTCCGCTGCGTAAAGATATTGATTTATCTGATTCAAATCTTGCTTGTTCTTTAGAATAAAATGTATAAAAAATTCTTTAATAGAGATAAAATTATATCTAAAGGATATTCATGTATTGTTAGCTGTAATTACGTTGCCATTTTTCTCCCCTATATTTTTTAAATTACCCTGAACATTATACGTATCGTTATCCTGGATCTCGTTGCATTGATGTTATTTTCGCTCCGTCGCCTCGCTTTCAGCTTAAAAAATGCAATGGCTCTCTAAGAGTTCAAGGCTAGGAGGTATTCTTTTCATTACCCCGTCTCACTACGTTGTTATCAGAATTTTCTCAAGTTTTTTACGGTAGTTGATTTAGCGTCATAACGACCTGCCCTTTGTCGGGACGCTGTCTCATGCTAAACACCGTCATTTTGCCGCCAGTTAAGAAATCGCGGCTTAAGAACCAACCCGCAGGTTCCCACCGCATTCCGCGGCTTCAATGCTCTCAGTGATATCGATTTTCTTCTCGACGGGCCGTGTTTCCGCGGTGTAAACGGGCCATTACCTTTAGTATGTCTTCTTCGCTGCCATCCACAATAGCAAGCGGTACGCTTTTGATGGTTTTCGTAACAATTAAAGCGTTCACCCTCTTTTCATTAAGAAAAAAAAAAATTAAAAAGAAAAGAATGAAACTTTTGCTACGAAGCTCAAGCTTTAAAACTAGTCGTCTTAAAAATATAGTTTCAGTGACGCAAAATTGATCTAGTCACTCACAATTTAAAAATGATTTCTCTGCAGCGTCCTCT